CAAAAACTTTAAGGTGGTTAGCTGAAGGAGTTCTTCCACTCAAAGCTTCAAATGGAGTCTTATTCCATACAACCTTTGTTGGACATATATTCAGCAAATACACATCAATATTAACAGCCTCGGGCCAAAAGGTTTTAGGCAAATCTTTCTTAAGTAGCATAGACTTCTCCATCTCCATCACTGTTTGGTACTTTCTTTCAGATACACCATTTTGCTGAGGTGTATAACCAGCAATGAACTGTCTTTCAACACCTTCATCTTCACAAAGTTTGTGAAATTCATTTGAGGTGTACTCCTTCCACCTGTCACTTCTCGACATTTCTATAAACCTACCACTTTGTTTCTCAATAAAAGCTTTAAACTTCTTAAAAACTACAAAAACTTTAGATTTTTGTCTCATAAAATATACCCATGTCATACGGGTAAAATCATCAATAAACAAGATAAAGTACCTGTTTTTTCCATAAGTCAAAATATTCATAGGGCCACAAACATCTGTGTGTACAAGTTCTAACACTTGTTTGGCTCTCCATGCTCCTTCCTTTGGAAATGGTTGGCGGTGGTGTTTGCCAAGCATACACCATTTTCTTCAATTATTGGCAGCCCATACACCATCTTCTTTTGATAAAGCAACTTGAGACTATTGTAGTTCAAGTGCCCAAGTCTCTTGTGCCACAAACAAGAGGCATTATCTTCTTTAGCCATCATGCTGAAAATTTTATCATAATTAAGAGAAAGTGGAAAGCTTCTATTACTGGTTATTTTTACAACAACATTTCTTCACTTTGAATCAAAAAAATTTCACTCTCGATTCTCAAAATTTAAAGAATAGCCATGCTCAAAACGTTGTCCAATGCTTAGCAAGTTCTCATCTAACTTTGTCTCATACGCATTTGTGTTTACTAGGGCATAATATTAGGTGTTACACTATCTTATATTGGAAGATATTGCATACATGATGTGGACTCTAATTTTGATGATGGTCATACTATTACAATTGTAGATTTTGACCTTAATAATTTTACTAACAAGGACGTTATCCCTCATGTAGCAAAACATGTTTTGCTGAGTGGTATCTTTTAAGGGATTTAAGAGGGGGTTTTCAAAATTTTAATTGATCCTCTTAGCATAACAATCTTGATAAACTAATATTGGAGCAGCTTTAGCTTTGATCACGTACGTAGAAGAAACCATTATCTCTTTGAAGTCCACGCAAGTATAGAGGTGAACGTCCTGCTAGTCGATTTTTTCAGAATGATGACAACGATTAGGATTGTAGGGGAAAGCGCTCCTCTATTAAAAGAGTAAGCTACTAAAATTCTAATGCTTTTATTTTGGACATTTTCAAAATAAGCTCAATCTTATTTATATTTAATTAAACTCTTTTAATTAAATAAAATAAAATATTATTTAAATTTAATTAAACTCTTTAATTAAATAAAATAAAATATTAAATAAATTCAATCATATTTAACTTAATTAGCTTTTAATTATCATTAATTTAATTAAATCATATATTATCAAATAAAATATATGTGTGTTAATTTATTAACTATTTTAAATACTATTTACATATAATTCACTTAAATACTAATTAATTTTCATATCTCTATCAGTACCCTATGCGTGTGACCTTGCAGATTCCAATAATCTTGAAAATAATATGAACTCACCTATTTAATATTATAAACAATGAGCAGTTTCTAACAACATATCACTACTACTCAAGTTACAAGAATTTCATCTGATCTGATATAACCTTTCTATGACAATAATCATGTGTATACTTACACCTTTTTTCGTATACAATGTGTCGCCCTTTTTAACCCAATATTATATTTCTTGATCCTCTAGTATGCTAGATAACAACAAATAAGATTAATATCTCATATTAACTTATTTGAGCACGACCATGCATTTTATAGTCATACTCGATGACAGGGCTATCAATATCACTTCAGTATATGTAGGAGGAGAAAATCCCGTCTAGATCACTCATGTCTCTCAGTATGATTTGTAGAATACTCATCAATCATCTTTATAGTCATCTTATACGAATAATTTTGACCGTCGATAAAGTATTCGACTCAACATTTAGGGTTCATAGTAGTATAAAGTTGAAGGGTGGTATACACCATTATCACTATAAAAATAACTTATGATACTTATGTAATATACTATGTAGTATTCTTATGGTGGGTCAATCCGATATAAATATTACTCCTAATATATATACCTATATGAAAACTTGATATCTCGTATCCATGACTCGAGAGATACAATCATGAGTCTACTGACATAATAGTCTCTACGCATCGTTGTTGTTCTATGTGACAATAACTTTGACTACAAATACTTTAAGAATAATATCCTTATGTTTAGTGATGTCTCACAACTAAGTCACACTTATTGGATCATTAAAAAAGTTAATTATTCTAAGGAATTATTATGTCACATACAAATAATACAATAAATACAATGTCTGATATTAAGTATATACATTAACAAATAATATATATCAAGTTCCTGATACAAAGGTATATATAACCGATATTGATTGGCTATTAGGGCTTACTTCAACACTTATTAATAAAATATTTCATGACATGGACATTAAGTTTGACAAGATCACAAGACACAAATTAATTTTTAGTTTTTGGGCAAGTAGCGCACTCTAGATAGGCTGCAAGAGTACAAGTCTATCAGAGTAATTAAAAAGTATCATTTTGCTAAGGACTGATTGGATTAATGAATTCACGTGTCTTATAATTATCTAAAATGATCTAAACTTTGTTTGAAATGGGTTTTAATTGATTCAAATATTTACAGTAGATAAACTCAGGACTGTGATTTATGCCTATGACTCACTCATGTAAAACTCTCGTTTTTCACAATGTTTTTAGAATTCATGTTCATGCAGAAACAAAATAGATAAAAATCATCATATCTTCTTTCAGAGAATATAATATTGTCTTGAGCCAGTGAATCACCTAATTTTGTAGCACTATTTATTTGTAAAGCAACCTTTAAGTGAAGCTACTATTTAAATAAGTTTTATCAAATAAATCATAGACACTTTCGTAGCCTTGGTTTAACTGCTCTTTTTATCTCGGATATTAGCAATACCCTTTCATTTTATCATGTGATATATAAAGCTACCTCTACTTTCATAGATATATATTCAATAAGTCCTAAAATTCCAGAGCAAATACATATTTTCTAATAGAAGAATTCGATATGAGAGTCTACATGAGATTTGTCGTTTAGAAAATTCTCATGTTCCTAAGTCTATGATAAGACTACTCATACATAACGAAAAGAATCACAAACTTGATTACTGATAAAGATACAAGCATAGAATAAAATAAAAGCAAGCAAACGATAAAGAAATAATGAAAACGGAACATGAATTACAAAATAAAATTAGAGCATTGTGCTTAAACATTATACTTCAATGGAGACTTTTGCAAGAATGTAAAATATAGAAAAATATGTGTGTGTGTGTGTGTGTGTGTGTGTGTGTGTGTGTGTGTGTGTGTGTGTGTGTGTGTGTGTGTGTGTGTGTGTGTGTGTGTGTGTGTGTGTGTGTGTGTGTGTGTGTGTGTGTGTGTGTGTGTGTGTGTGTGTGTGTGTGTGTGTGTGTGTGTGTGTGTGTGTGTGTGTGTGTGTGTGTGTGTGTGTGTGTGTGTGTGTGTGTGTGTGTGTGTGTGTGTGTGTGTGTGTGTGTGTGTGTGTGTGTGTGTGTGTGTGTGTGTGTGTGTGTGTGTGTGTGTGTGTGTGTGTGTGTGTGTGTGTGTGTGTGTGTGTGTGTGTGTGTGTGTGTGTGTGTGTGTGTGTGTGTGTGTGTGTGTGTGTGTGTGTGTGTGTGTGTGTGTGTGTGTGTGTGTGTGTGTGTGTGTGTGTGTGTGTGTGTGTGTGTGTGTGTGTGTGTGTGTGTGTGTGTGTGTGTGTGTGTGTGTGTGTGTGTGTGTGTGTGTGTGTGTGTGTGTGTGTGTGTGTGTGTGTGTGTGTGTGTGTGTGTGTGGTGTGTGTGTGTGTGTGTGTGTGTGTGTGTGTGTGTGTGTGTGTGTGTGTGTGTGTGTGAGAGAGAGAGAGAGAGAGAGAGAGAGAATTCTGAAGTTACAAGTGTCATACCCTAAATTTTCCCGCTAATTTTTGTAAATATTTTCTTATTTTTCTTTTTTTGCATCTTCCATTTATTTTCGTGCCATTTGGACACGTGTCCGCCCCGATCGGACATTTTTTTCGAATTTTGATTATTTTGTCGAATGGGAGCGTGACATGTGGCCTGAGGGCATTTTGGTAAATTTGGTTTCCTTTTTCATTTTCTTTTTTATCTAATTTAAGTAGTTTGTTTTATTATATTTTAATATTTATTTATTTTGTATTTGTTAATAATTGTTTATTAGTTATTATAAGTGTTAATATCAATTAGTATTTAATAGAGTTAATTAGTTGAAAAAAAAAGAAAATAATTAGAAAGAAGAGAATAAGATTTTGAAAGGAAATGGTTGGAGAGTGGGGTCTGGCCCATCGTATAGGCCCATTGGGGAGGCTGAGAGAGAGGTCTGCAAGTCATAAAAAGGAAGAGAGAAAACCTACTGTTCATGAAAAAAAAAACCCAAAACGGCCGCAGCCACCCCAACGAAAAACCCTAATTTTGTCCATTCCCCAATCTGAAGAACCAGCCGCCACCGAGCTGCCTTTGCTTCCCTGCGCCGCTCATTCTTCCTTCCACCATAACATATCTCTCCTTCAAAAATTTCTCTCTCTCTTCAACATCACTACCGTCCCTCTAATTTGAACTCTTTCTTCCTAGCAACAACTCCAACTCCTACACACATCTCCTCTTCCGCCGTGGAACCGGTTCTACCACCGCGTTCTTTGTCTCCAAACTCGGCAAACTTCTCAGCTCCAACCGACTCGCCAACGTCATACATTCCCACCTCCACAACCTCCCTCCACGGTGCCGATAAAATAGCAATTCGGGACAAAGTAGAATGGGGACGAAGATAAAGTCCAAAACACAACTGGTGAAAAACGAAGACAACGAAAAGAAAGCCGTTGCCGATAGAACCAACAAAGAAGACGATAGCGTTTTTGCTTCATGTACCTTCTCTAGCCTCGGTCTTCATCCAACCTTATGTGACCAACTTCGTGAAAGGATGGGTTTTGAAGGTCCAACATTAGTGCAAGCTCAAGCCGTTCTTGTTGTTCTCTCTGGCCGTCACGCACTAGTTAATGCTGCTACTGGCACAGGGAAGACTATTGCATACCTTGCTCCAATTATTCATCATTTACAGAGTTATGAAAAGCGAATCGAGCGCTCCGATAGAACATTTGCGTTGGTGCTTGTACCAACGCGTGAGTTATGTTTGCAGGTTCATGAAATTCTTCAGAAGTTATTGCATCTGTTTCATTGGATTGTTCCAGGATATATTATGGGTGGTGAGAGTAGATCGAAGGAGGAAGCCAGGCTGCGCAAAGCAGACTCACGGAGATTTACGACGACAACATTGAAGCATTTGAAAGACAAGCACAGTAGCTGCTCTTATCAACTGAACAGTAACACATATCGTAGCAGAGCGACGAATCTGACTCACGCGTTCGATTTTAAAAGCCTAAACTCAAGATTTGGAACCGATTGCGTGCTGGCCGTGATGTCTATCATATACAGGCAACATAAATGAGTCTTCAAGCTCGCGTCAGCAGTTTGAATCCAGGACAGCTGCGATGTCACCGACAAGTTCCGCTGTTTTCAGCTTCCAACGACGGCATCAAAAACATAGCTCCCGTGCGACACTGATTCGAAGCCAACATCAACGATACGACAACCTCAGCGTCGATACATTTCCGTTCGGTTTCACACCGTAGTTTCACAATAATTTCGACGTTGAAAATTACCAGGTATCCGTTTCGCAGCAATTTCGCGATTCAGCTCGTAGCAGCAGGCGTTTTCACTTCTGATTCGATTGAAGTTTCTGGCTCGTCTTCGCATGTCTATTGTGTCGCTTTGCATTCAGCTGTTTCAGCTATGGTTGGCTGTCCTACCGCCGTGTTTAATTTGTCAATGTTGGTCCGAAGTTTGGTTATAGATTCGAGATTCAGAAGTTGAAACCGACTCGGTTCATGTCAACAACATCACAACAGCAACATTGTTTCGTTCTCAAAAAGACACAGCAACAGCTTTCAACGGCGCGCTTCAGTTCTGTTGATGACAGACCATGTCATTCAACAGCTTTCTTACCAAACATATACTCTGTCTGTTTTCATTCTTTCCAGGTCTTCCGCATGATCAATAGCATTAACCATAACAACAACTTTGACAAGCATAACTCACCAACAACAGTTTTCGAGCAAACACTTCGCTGAATGTATAGAGAAAAGCTGCAACAGCTCTGAGGAATATAAAGCCAGAGCGTATACAGCAGCAGCTCTTCAATAACAATGTCCACGACAACAATGTTCAACACTCGGTTTCAGCAACAACACAGTTCGACGGCAGTAGGTTTCAAGAACTCTCCAGACTACCACAACTCGGGTGATAACATCAATGTCGCAGCTCTTCATTTCTCAGCATACAACATCGCGAAAATTGCTTCGATGCGGCGACATATTTCAGCAAAAACAGTTCATCGTCGTTTTCATGTTTTGGAGTAGATTCAAGAGATGAGTCATCACCGAGCAGCAAGACGGTCCCTACTAGAACAACGATATACCTACGGCAGATTCAATTCAGCAGCAAGTTTGCGGTATAACTCGACATGGTTTGAGTCTCTAATGTATCACCAGCTCTCATCGGCAACAGCTTGCCTTTTTTTTTTCGGTGTGACATCAAACACGGATGCCGCTCAGCTTGCAGAGACATTTGCTGTTACCAAATGTCCAACAAAGGTGGTTGGTGTTCCTGTGATTTCAAATGGAGATCTTAAAAACCAGTTTGTGGAAACAAATGTTGGTTTTGATACAATTTGTAAGGCGAATTCTCAACGCATCAACAATGTCTGCACTGATGCTCTTTCTGCAGAGAAGTATTATTATTTCATTCGTCTGATGGGACGCAAGGCATCACATGTTGCTTTGGAATGCGCTCTTCAGTCCCATCCGAACATGGTAATTCTCGGGGAGGAGGTAGCAAAATCAAAACATACAAGGGAAAGAAATTCGATGCCATTTGCCATTTTTTTGGATATCAAGCTTGAGGATCTCTTCCATCAAAGTCTGACAGTGACTATGCATACGTTCTTGGACACATCTGCTACCATATACTTGCTGCTGGTTTGAATGGATACATGACAACTGTAACTAATTTGAAGAATCCTGTTAACAAGTGGAAATGCGGTCCTGCTCCCATTTCATCTATGATGACGCTGAAGCGTTGGTCTCCAAATCCTGGAGCTGCATCAATCGGAAAACCTGCTATACATCCAGCTGTTGTGGATCTAAGCGGCAAAACAATAGTCTCAATTCAGACGACTCCAAAAGCGGAAATGTGATAACAATGTGAGCTAAATGACACCGTTTGAGTACCAAATGTCAGCAACAACAACGTTTAAATTCAAAACCGTTACCAACTGAGCAGTAGCACGTATCGTAGCAGAGCGGCGAATCCGCACACACATTCGTTTCCTTCAGTTTTCAACAAGGAACTCATTATCTCGCCACTGATAGAGTTGATAATTAAGGACTCAGTTCAAAGACGACTTTGAGTTTTGCGGTAATCACTAATCCCAATTCAATTCATAATGTGTGTATAACTGGTTTTGTCTATTTGTTCTGTTGTGTTAAAACAGGGTCTGATGCATCCTCAACGACGATAACGGTTACGACGGTGTTGAAGCATAGGATAACAATGGCACGACTCCGTTTTAACGACTTCGCAACAACAACTCAGAAGACAACACCGCTAACTGAGACAATAAGCATTATGTTATGGCAGTCATTTCATTTTTTGCAGGTACCGTTGATGAGAGTCTAAGCTCGGTGTAAGCGCGAGTTTGGACTCACTTACAGTAGACTCGACAGCAACTGGTCATTGGAAGTTTATGTATTTGTTTCCCCGTGACGCCCGACAACTTAGTAGTAGCTCATGGTAGGCGTTTCGAATAGGCAGTGCTTTGCATATTTTAATTTGCTCGTATGCTGCTGTTGAGATTTACTTTTGTCTCATTTCGATAATGATTCCGTCTACCGTATTCGACTATGCCATTAGTTTTTCGATTTCCTGATATTGGTCTTGTAAATATTATGATTTTATTGACGGTATTGTAGCCATGGTTAAATTTTCAGAATGTGGATAATGGGATAATAACTTTTGTTTAGCTCATGTGTTATCATATTACTGCTGATACCTATATGGTTAACATACAGTGTGGTTTTGGATGCATCTTCGGCAGTATTTTGATTAGGTGGTTTAAGATTAGTTTGTTTTTTATGTACTTAGATTTCAATTTCAATAGTACTGCGTTTTATTTAGGCTATATCAATTTTGTGATAATTATGCATTACTAACAATATCTTATTTCATAGATTTTCAATTTGATTTCAGCTGATGTTTAATTTGTTTAGTATATTCAATTTGGTAATGGCAGCCTTAAACTGATACTAATGTTGAACTCAAATGATATGAGTTTTCTTATCTGATTTGGTTGCAAAGAGTTGTGGAACGTTGAGCTTGTGGTCAAGGATGTTCAGCTTTTCCACGAGGGTATTAAAATCTCTTTAATAAGGAATCAGTTGTTTATTCGTGTTGAATTGAAAAAAAAAGAATTAAGTGTAGACTTTCTCTCTTTCCGAGTGTCGAGATGCCCATTGTAGTGTGGGTGGTTTTGACACTCGTCTTTCAATACGAAGACGCTTGTATTCTCCATATTCATATACTTTCTCTCCTAAAACCTCGGCTCCGCGTCGAGTTCATTTTCAAAACCTCTTCAATTAAAATCAAATCATCTTTGTATTGAACTAAAAGAGGGGATTAAGTGTAGACTTTCTTCCTCTCCGAGTGTCAAGATGCTCACTGTAGTGTGGGTGGTTTAGACATTCATCTTTCAAAACGAAGACGTTTTTCTTTCCATTCTTTCTATCTTCCAAACTATTCTCCTCCTAAAACCTCGGTCCCGTACCGAGTGTATCATTGTCAAACAATCTTCAAAATCAAATCATCCTTGCATTGAACTAAACGAGGGGATTAAGTGTAGACTTTCTTCCTCTCCGAGTGTTGGGATACCCACTGTAGTGAGGGTGGTTCCAACACTCGTCTTTCAATACGAAGACGTTTCCCATCCATTTTCAAATCTCATCTCCCTAAAATCATTTCTTTGTATTGAATTCGACGAGAGGATTGGGTGTAGACCCCTTCTTCTTCGAGCGTAGGGATGCCCACTGTAGTGAGGGTGGTCTCGATGCTCGGCTGTCAATACAAAGGCGCTTCCAACATTTCTTCATAAAACCTCGGTCTCGTATTGAGTATATTTTCACATAAATTAATTTCTCTTTGTATCGAATTAAAGAGAGAAGATTGGGTGTAGACCTCTTCTTCTCCGAGTGATGGGATGCCCACTGTAGTGAGGGTGGTCTCGACACTCGTCTTTCGATACGAAGACGCGCTTTTATCCACCGTCCCGCTTTCACAACTTCCTTCCACAATTTTCACACCTAAAACCTCGGTCCTGTACCGAGTGCATTTTCAAATCTTTTCATAACAAAAGCTTGAATGGTCGTGGAGTGGTTAGGCGTAGGCCTTCTCCTATCCCGAGTGTTGACGCTTACCGTAGGGTTCTCTGTCGCAAAACACTTACCATTCAAAGCCAAAAACACTTTAATAAGAGAATGAAGTTCTTTTTGTGTTGAACTAAAGAGAGAGGATTGAGTGTAGTCTTCTTCCTCTCCGAGTGTCAGGATACTCACTGTAGTGTGTGTGGTCTTGATACTCGTCTTTCAATACGAAGACGCCTCGTTCGCCACACCCTTTTTTATAACAAAACTTTGAGATCACGAATTGGGTACTACCCGTAGGGGTTACTATCCGAGGACCTATCTCGCCCCTTAAAAAACAATCCAATCAATCAAACGTGACTTCTTGCCCCGCGTGGCGAAAACTAATCAATCTTTCAAAAGGATATGTTACGTCCGTTCTACCGCAAACAGGTAACGCCTAAGTCTCCAACGAGCGAGCAGCAAAACACCTAACTGCTAGAATGCGCACGATAGCATCATCCATAAAAACATCAACACACCGTAGGCCGAACTACGGCTGCTCTGATTCTTTACTTTCTCAAGTAAAGATACGTAGGCACAAGGGCCACAATCCTTGCCGAGCACATTCCCCCCATATCTGTAGTTCCCCGAACTACGTCGACTCTGACTTTCTCACATCTATTGAGAATACGTAGGCATAGGACTGCGAAGTCCTACCGAGTCTGTTCTTTCTCTTTTCTTCCCCGTTCTCTCTTTCCTCCTAACTTTCTTGTTTCAAGCCCTTCTTTTACCCAGTGAAACATTCTTCTTATAGCATAATATTTAAGCAGATAAAGTCACACGTCGATAAACAAAAGGTTCCCATCGAGTACGATGGATGCGAGGGGTGCTAATACCTTCCCCTCGCATAACCGGCTTCCGAACCCGTTCTTGGCCGCGAGACCATCTTATCCATTTTATTTTCTTAAGGTTTTCTCGATATTTTCCTTTCCCC